TTTAATGAGCTTTAATCTTAATCTATTTGTTTTGGGACAACGTGAAGGAATTGTGTGGAATCCAGCATTTTTACAGTGTACAATAATGTTTATGTATGTACTAACATGAACAGACAATAAACAGTTAATTTATTCCAGTATTTAATAATATTTGTTTAGGATGATTAATAAAAATAAAGTTGTTTATTGTATGTTTATGTTAACCCACAGTGCACTAGCTAATATTAATGAACACAAATTGGGATTTTAATAATGCATTTTTAAATGTTGAACTATGATTAATAAAAGCTGCATATGACTGTTCATACCTAATTAATCATTCATTCTTTCTTCTTCGGCTTAGTCCCTTTATTCATCAGGGGTCGCCACAACGGATTGAACCACCAACTTATCCAGCATATGTTTTACACAGCGGATGCCCTTCCATCTGCAACCCATTACTGGGAAACATCCATACACACTCATTCACACACACACACGCACACACACACACACACACACACACACACACACACACACACACACACACACACACACACACACACACACACACACACACACACACACACACACACACACACACTACAGCCAATTTAGTGTATTCATACATGGAAAGAACCTATATGAGGATATATGCACATATATGAAACCTATATGCAGTATATATATGCATATATGATAATATATACGCTACATATACAGTATGGGTATATATGCCACATATAGGCAAAATTAAGGTGCATATACAATATGTGCATATACAGGCCATTCAGGTCTTCTGTATTGCTTCTTTATATCCACATAAACGCCATATATGTACTTACAAGATATGTCTCCTATATAGCTCACATCTCACTTTGGCAACTGCCATAACTGATGCCTAGCTCTATTATCAAGGCAATTACTATGAACTAACAAAAAAAAAAATGCAAAAAAAAAGTATGTATGCACAAACACTTTAAATTGCCATTACATGTAATTAGCATGCTATGGAATTTAACCATAGTAAATAAGTGAGAGACCTCACGAAAAAGACAACAACCTATAAACATGTTTTAACATATGTTTTGATATAGGTTTTTAATATATGTAATCTATATAAAATTGAGGAAAATTGCCAATTTATATGTCACATATATTAAAAACCTACATCAAAACATATATTAAAACATATATGTTTATATAGGTTCTTTCCATGTGGGTTCAATTCACCTGTAGTGCATGTCTTTGGACTGTGGGGGAAACCGGAGCACCCGGAGGAAATGCACACCAACTCGGGTAGAACATGCAAACTCCACTCAGAATTGCCAACTGACCCAACCGGGGCTCGAACCAGCAACCTTCCTGCTGTGAGGGAACAGTACTAACCAATAAGCCACCATGTCGCCATACTTAGTTTATACGTTAGCAAATACATTAACTAACGTCAACCATTGAAACCTTCTTGTAAAGTGTGGCCATAAAACCTTATAGAATGCTGCTGTTTCACATAAAACCACAGAGAGGCTGTCATATATCTCACTCCCGTTTCCTTGTTTTAACACACAGATACTGAAAACTGGGATTCAGCATTCCAAGAATGGCTGATAAGGAAAAGGAAAAGAGCAATCCAAGGACAACGCAGATGGGGAACCCCCTCGATGGCACACAATGAGAGATCGAGTAAACAAATGGACCAATAAACAGAGAAGACAATGGATTGTTTACTTAGCAGAGGTCAGTCTCTGACTCGTGGATTAACCTGGCATTCTTACGGGCGCAATAATAGTTATCACCTTTAACAGAGTAAACACCGGAGTAAACTCATCCAGATTTATTATGCCATGTTGTTTCAGATAATAGTAACATAAATAAGACCATAAATGGCTTAGGCACCATAAAGGATAAACAGGTCTGGCGTCCCAGCATGAGTTCTCTAATCAATGCATTCATTTGAAAGGAATTTTAATTCAAAACAGAGCAAAATAATTCATTTATTTTTTTTAGAGAGACAGTAAAATGTCCTTAGGGCTCACAGTAGGTAGATGGCACCTCTCTGAATCAACACAATCTCCAGCACAGTAGGCGTCATTGGTTAGACTTTGATTTACGTACATTTCTTTTCAACTTGGCAGGGAACACTGAATTATGTACCTCTAAATTTCTGTTACAGTTCAGGGAACAGGGACCTCTTGTTTGGACTGAGACACCCCAGCACAGATATAGATGTGGGACTTCAAAAGAATGACTTTGTGAGTCTGCGGTTAGTCTGCTGTGTCAGTAAACACAGCACATGGCTGGCCTGTTCCCTGATGCGCTTAAAGTAGTCAATAAACAAATTGGGCAGCAAAAGGTCACTTTTTAATGTCTTCCTAACATTGCTTCGGTAGCACTGTAAAATGTTGATGTCATAATATTAACAGATTTTTACAATAACTTAAAAGGATAGTCCACCCAAAAATTAAAATATGCTTAAAAACTATTCACCCTCAGGCTGTCTAGTTTTTTCAGTAGAGCATAGAAATATATTTTTTAACTGATGTAGTGGTACTTGGTGATTTAGAAAATGAAATCAACAGCTTCTTGCTCTTTAAGAGACAAATAAATAAATACACATACAGGCAAAACAAAATGAATACCTGTGTCGACACATTGAAATCTGTGCAAAAAAAAAAATAATAATAAAAACTTCACCAGCCTCAACTAATGGTTCTTAGCTTATTCATGACAACCTGGATCACAATTATTTTGTTTCATAATGATTTATACATAGACGCAAAATCGCATGTGAGTCTGGAGCTGTTTATTTACACTATGCAAGATAAGGTAACTCCAACCATTTGAGGAAACCAATTGTAACAAACCATTTAAGTTCAAAAACTAATCCTAAAGAGTACTGCGAACTTAATCCATTTGAGTAAATGAAGGAATTTGAGCACAGTAAAACCAAATAAATGAAGAGAACTCAAACCAACTGAGTACTGTAAAACCCATTAAGTTAAGGCAACTCAAACCGTTTGAAGAAACCGATTGCTACAAACTATTTGAGTTACAAAACTAATCTATATGAGTACTGTGAACTTACTCCATTTAAGTTGAGTAAATTGAGTTAAGTAATTAGAACACTGCGTTCAAAACTCTGTTCAGATAAGTAGAATTAACTTTCAGAAAATTTTGAGTTGACTACACTCATTTCATTTGATAAAGTTGACTGTTGGGTGCACTACTTAATTTTATATGGGTTGCAGACAGACAGACAGACAGACAGACAGACAGACAGACAGACAGACAGACAGGCAGGCAGGCAGGCAGGCAGGCAGGCAGGCAGGCAGACAGACAGACAGGCAGGCAGGCAGGCAGGCAGACAGACAGACAGACAGACAGACAGATACAGTAGATGTACTATAAAACCCAACAGTCAACTTTATCAAATGAAATAAGCGTAGTTAACTCAAAACTGACAAAGTTAATTCTACTCATTTAAAAAGAGTTTGGCGACCCAGTGGCACAGTAGGTAGTGCTGTCGCCTCACAGCAAGGTCGCTGGTTCTAACATCGGCTGGGTTAGTTGGCGTTTCTGTGTGGAGTTTGCATGTTCTCTCTGCGTTTGCGTGGGTTTCCTCCGGGTGCTCCGGTTTCCCCCACAGTCCAAAGACAAGCGGTACAGGTGAATTGGGTAGGCTAAATTGTCTGTTGTGTATGAGTGTGAATGAGTGTGTGTGGATGTTTCCCAGAGAAGGCTTGCGACTGGAAGGGCATTCGCTGCGTAAAAACATGCTGGATGAGTTGGCGGTTCATTCTGCTGTGGCGACCCCGATAAATTAGGGGACTAAGCCGAAAAGAAAATAAATGAATAAATGAAAAGAATTTTGAACTCAGTGTTGAAGGTAATGAGTTAATTAAATACCCCATTACTTCAACTTAAATGGAATAAGTTCACAGTATGTCATTATAGATGTGTAGTCAATGTGCAGTAATCTCTCATATGTAATAAACTCAGGCAAGTTCAGAAACTGTCACTAAAATATCTGTGATTGTGAACAAGAAAAGAATAAACGGTCCAATTAAATTGTTAAAATTATGGAGAAGTAGATCGGTTTGACTGTACAAGGGAAATACCTTCACACTGCCTGTGCTAAATCATTTGTCGTCGGTACGCAGAGGGGTGATCTGCTCTTGGGCTGCAGGTGGGAGAGGCTGCTGTACGAGGACTGACAAAAAAAAATCCCCAACACACAAAAAAGTTGCTTGATTTGTCGCTGGGGGGGGTCTGAAAATTCACTAAATCTAGTGACAAAGTCGCTAAGTTGGCAACATTGGCGGCAAGCAATCAGAATGAAGTAGTCCACCGCTTGAAAGGTGTTCAGAGAACACAGACCTGTGCACTTTGATTCTGACCACAGTTGTTCCCAAGAGTTTGATTATTGCGGTTGCCGGATTTTCAATTATTGAAAATCGCGATGACGCGGGGCCCCCCCGCGGTGCGTGCCCTGCGGGCCCGTCCGCTACGCCACTGACTCATATACAGTAGATGAGGTTTTAAACGGTTTCCTCAAACGGTTTGAGTTGCCTTAACTTATTGGGTTTTACAGTACTCAGTTGGTTTGAGTTCACTTCATTTATTGACTTTTACTGTGCTCAAATTCCTTCATTTACTCAAATGGATTAAGTTCACAGTACTTATTTGGATTCGTTTTTGAACTTAAATGGTTTGTTGCAATCGGTTTCCTAAAATGGTTTGAGTTACCTGAACTTTTTGGGTTTTACAGTGTATATAGACAACTAAAGGTATAGGCCTACAGACATTTTTGTAAAAATAATTTTAAAGTAATGTAAAAAGTGTGCTTTTATTGGTATATTAAATGTGATAACTACTTTTGAACACTTTCCCCCTTAAACTTCTCTACGAATTTTGAATTTTAGACGGACGCGTTTAAAGTTGCTCCTGTCAAGGTTGTATATATACTCAAAGGAAATGACGCTCTCTTTAATTCGGTCCTAATGAATGAATAAAAGACTCACCTCTCGCTTCACATGACAGCGCCACGATCAAAACACTAAGAAAAGCCAAGCTTCCTCTCTCTGGAAACATTTTATGACCCGCCACTAAAAGAAACCATGAGAATCATAACGATGAATTTTCAGAAATCACATTCACGATCAGAAACAAAACCAAAACTTTTATTAATGATAATGAACAAGTTGTTGCTATTAGTCGCGTTGCATTAGGCTTTCGCTTTTTAGCGTGTATGTGGTAAAACAACACCCTGACGAAAGAAACAGCTCATCTGTTGAATGCAGGGATCAAGTACTTACACTTTTAGCTACGAATCAAACAGCTTCGAATAGAAAGATGAGACGAACACTCTTGAGCAGCAAGGTCTTCTTTTAAATGTCTTCAGTCTTTTAGTATATTGTCCAGCAGAAGTTTCGTTCAAGAGTAATTAAGTTCCACTCGCCTCTTCTCTTGACATGACCCGTCAGCATCATCCCTGACCGTGGAGAGAACTGAAGACCTACAGCTGTGAATCACAGCAGCGCTGCCGCGAGCAAACAGCTGGAGGAGCCGAGGAGCCGGCAGAACCACAACATCAGCGCCCTCTGTAGGCGGATAGCAGCCATTGTAACTATACTAAAACCTGTAGATAAACCATGATGACCCATGGCAAACAATAAGCATTGCAACAAACGCAACGTAATATAATATAATATAATATAATATAATATAATATAATATAATATAATATAATATAATATAATATAATATAATATAATATAATATAATATAATATAATATAATATAATATAATATAAAGATGTTTTAAAGAAAGCTAAAAATAAATGTATCAATGGAAACCAGTAACCATTGACTTCCATAGTATTTGTTTTCCTACCATGGAGTAGTCTTTTCAAAGTACTATCTGCTATGATTTTTTAGTCACACTTGTTGCATTTTAAACATTGCACCAAAAAAGTTCAGCCTAAGTATTTAATGGTTAACATAATTCATAGTTTTCACGTGATTTTCGGGCAACAATTAAATAACTGCTATAAAGATATTTTAAGATCCCATTTGCTTCAAGCCACAAATATTTAGATCATCTCTTATATATAAATTTATATAAATTTTAACAACACAGATGTGTGGCCATCCATACAGGACCTGTATCATCCCTAAATTATGGCGTAATATTTTAAAATAATAAATTTACAGGTAAAGATTTTTTCTTAACAGGTAAACACTTTTTATGAGTTAAAAAGACCTTTTAAAAGTAGTCAGTAGTGAGTATTATGCTGTAAAAAGCTGATGCATTTACATGTAATCTGTGAAAGTGTGTAAACGTAACATTCTGTAGTGCATTTAGTTATTGCCCAGCAGGCACACAACCTCTTGAGACATTAATATTAGGTTAGATTTAAGATGTGGTGTCAGGTGACCAACATTCAATGTCTAGCCAGCATTCAAGGACAATCTTACTTTGATGTCCAATAACGACATCAAATGACGCTGATATTTGACTAATTTTAGGTTGTGTTGGAAAGTGACCAAAATCCAACTTTGTGCCAACATTTAAAACCAACGTCATATTGAAGTCAGATACTAAGATTTATTCGTCAGGTACAGCAACCAAAATGTTCTGATAGACATCATATTGGTAACATCCACACAACATTAAGCTGTAACATCATTAGACATTGATATTTGGTTGATTTTAGGTTGGACGTTGCACACTTACATATCCCTGACGTTGGGTTCTGACACCAACTCGATTTTCATTTCCAAAACAAAACGAAACATCCCCACGACATTAGGGTACAACGTCAATCTGACGTCATGTTGAAGTCTTGCACCTGCTGGGTGTTTAAGGCCATTTCGTCATCAAACAGTAGATCCGTCATCTCATCAGTAGGGCCAGACAGAATCTGCAGACATTTTTTGCTATTTCTGCAGTAAAAAGTCTGTGGATTTATGCGGAATGATTTTAGGAATATCATAACTAAAGACTTAATGTATGAAATAACAAAATAATAAATTTTTAACTTTAATTCAATGTTTACAATGCAAATCCAATTAGTCCACTTATTTGGTAAACAAAGCAAGTCTGACATAAAAACTATACACACACACACACACACGCACACGCACACGCACACACACACACACACACACACACACACACACACAGTTAAAGTCAGAATTATTAGCCCCCCTGAATCATTAGACCCCTGTTTATTTTTTCCCCAATTTCTGATTTTTTTTCAACACATTTCTAAACATAATAGTTTGATTAACTCATTTCCAATAACTGATTTATTTTATCTTGGCCATGATGACAGTAAATAATAATTGTAGATATTCTTCAAGACACTTCTATACACCTTAAAGTGACATTTAAAGGCTTAACTAGGTTAATTAGGTTAACTAGGCAGGTTAGGGTAATTAGGCAAGTTATTGTATAGCAATGATTTGTTCTGTAGATAGTCGGGAAAAAAATAGCTCAAAGGGGCTAATAATTTTGTCCTTAAAATGGTGTTAAAAAATTAAAAAATGCTTTTATTCCAGTTAAAATAAAACAAATAAGACTTTCTCCAGAAGAAAAAAATATTATCAGACAAACTTTGACAATTTTCTTGCTCTTGCTCTTACTTCATTTGGGAAATATTTAAAAAAAGAATAATAAAATCAAAGGAGGGCTAATAATTCTAACTTCAACTTAGTCTCTTTATTAATCAGTAGTCACCACAGAGAAAAATGAACCACACCAACTTATCCAGCATATGTTTTACGAAGCCGATGCCCTTTCCTACGCGAGCACAGGGAGAGCATGCAAACTCCACATAAAAATGCCTACCTGAACCAGCGACCTATATATATTTACAGGTAAACCAGTATATTTACATGTAAACTAGTATGATCGAAAGAGGTTCAATAGATTTTTATTTTATATATCTGACTTTAAATACTCTCATATCTGTTCAGACTTAACCTCTGTGCTCCTGCCCCAAATGGCACCCGTAAACACTTCATTTCTCAGTCCATACTTTCATGACTTTCCTGATGTCAGAGGTCACCTTTGAAGTGGGCATTACAATCATTTAGCACACATTAAGTGGGCACACATGAGCACCCTTTTGAAAGCTAAAATAACGAGCGTCTTGAGGTATCGTGAACTTAACAGACACTCACATAGTGGTTATTGTAAGTCCTCAAGGCTGCAAAGTGTTCATCAATTGAGCCATTTGGGACAGGTCTCGTCTCACCTCTCAAGTATACTCTCAGGCAGAACAGCTTTCAGCCACTAGATGGTAGTCTAAGTACACTCAATCGCTCCATAAGAATTCAAAATTCCCTTCCAATAATAAAAAAAGACATTTCAAGCATCAAAACAGCAAATCTATAATACAGCATTATTTTTAAGTAGCTGCATTTTTGAGCAGAAAATAATTATTATTATACAATTTTAGTAAATGTACTAAAAACATACTAAAGACATAAATAGGTCAAAATGTGTAACAACAGTTTATGTTAAAAAAACCTTGTGTTAAAATTAATTGGAAAAGAGCCTGGTTAACGCTCTTTAAATATACTATTAATAATAAAATAAAAAAATTAATAAAAAAAAAACTACATACAATTTACCCAGTAAAATCGTTATTATCAAAGTACATTGAAATGAAGGATATCTGTGGTTTCTGCAATGTGGATAAAGAGAGCCTTTGTCATTTATTTTTTGAATGCAATGTGGTAAACAATTTCTGGTAGGATCTAGCCAAATACATTTTAAAAAAAGACAAAACAAACAAATGCAAAAACAAACAAACAAACAAATAAATAAAAAAAATAATAAAAACCTTGTCACCCATATTTAGATCAAAATCTTTTGACTACATAATAAAAGACCCTATTTATCACAGGGCAGCTCCAAAAGAAAATGTGTGTATATATATATATATATATATATATATATATATATATATATATATATATATATTAATTGTCCTTTTAAATTTGTACATAATATCACTATGTTAGGTTGAGTGCATTTGTTTTTCAACAATATAGTTTTGGATATTTAGAAGCAGATTTGTATTTGTGATCACAGACCTTTTCATATATTTTAATAACTGGTCAGAGTGCAAGTATGTTGTATCATTTTATAATAAATATAGATTTTAATAGTGTTTGATTTAATATTTGCATTATACTTACAAGATTATCTATATACTAGTTTTCTCAGTGCATATATGGAAACATATATGGAAAATTGCTAATTTACAGATACCTTTTTTCTGAATTCTAACCTGTATGGCTTTCTTTTAAACACAAAAGCAAATATTGTAAAGAATGTTGGTAGCTAAATTGTTTTGGTGACCTCTGACTTTTATTGCCCTTCTACTTCTTCTACTGCCCTTTTAGAGCCTTGGCCTCTTTAACCCCTTCCCTCCAACCTTCCCAATCCAATACTAGATTTCCACAAGGTCACACTCCTATGAAACCTAGATCTTCTAACCACCTCTTTCGTCACCTGCCAGGACATCTCATTCCTTCCAGCTTTAGCTTGTACACATTCTTAATAGCTCTCTGTTCGGGAAATCTCTCTAAGTGGCTCAGCCATTTTAACTGGTTTCTCTTTATTTCTGTGACCAGGCTTGGCCCACTATACAGGTCTGCCACTTCTGCATTAATCCCTATCTACCATTCACCTTGGTCACAAACTGCTCCATAGATCCTCCTCAAGATCTTTCTGTTAAACTTTCATTGCACTACACCACATATACAGTATATGTTTATTCATTCATTTTCAGTCAGCTTATTCCCTTAATACATCCCATTTATTCACAGCATAATGAACTGCCAACTTATCCAGCATATGTTTTTCATTGCGGATGCCCTTCCAGCTGCAACCCAGTACTGGGAAACATCCATACACACTCATTCGCACACTATGGCCAATTTAGCTCATTCAATTCACCTATAGCGCATGTCTTCATGCAAACTCCATACAGATATGCCAACTGACTCAACCGAGACTTGAACCAGCAACCATCCTGCTGTGATGCGACTTTATTTTTTTATCCCTATCCTTCTTCAAATTAGATTTGTGTATGTTTTCAGCTTGCCAGAACTGCGGCTGACCTTTGAACAACTGTTATGTTCTTCTGGTTTACTCCATTTCTATCTCCATAGCTGTGCAGTTCGATGTCGCTGCAACCTCTTCATGAATCAAAAATGAGCTTCTGTGGTGCGCAGAAGCTCCTGCAGGGGCTTATGCTCTCCTCTCCTCCTTCCCATCCACACGATGCGGATTCCCAGAGCGATCTGGCGCTGGATGAGAAACCTCACATAGGTCTCCCACCACCCCCGTGGCCCCCTGGCAGTCGTGTTTAGATATCTGGGATGAAGACGTCCTCAGCATCCGCCCACTCTGGAGTCTGATGGTGGGAGGTGATTTAACAGTGCTCTGTAGCCATAGGAGAGTCTGGCTCATTTCCTCTCTGGTCTCATGCAGTTTTCTCCTCTTGTTTTTTTGGATCACCCAAAAGTTGCGTTTAGAGTTTTACAACTCTTAGGA